TCCGACTCGGATCCTCGGTGGAAACGTAGTCAGTATACTAACAGTAAATCAGAAATTTCCGAAAGTTTTTTTTAAAGATTTTCTTAATATTAATCATGGCCATTAAACTCATGTTCATTAAATCATGTTCTGTCGGAAGAGTAACATAACCTATATTTAAGGTAATCTAATTGCACGATTGTATGTAGAGCTGCTCTATTTCTCCGTCAATTTGTTGCTAATAATTACTGCACGAGAATAAATTTTGTTATATTTCTTAGGGCATTTCTGTCATCTAATACGTGTAATAGATTTTGTATCAATTTTGTAATTTATCTGCTAAAAATTTTGTCTGCTCTCAGAAAATGGTATTACAAAAAGTGATATTCTGCAACTTTTTGAAAACTATGGAAAATATTTAAAAGAATTAATGCCTAAGGCAGTTGACAGGATGAATTTTGAAAAGAAATTCTATACTTCTTACGAACAGGTGATTTCTTTTTCTTATTTTAATTTTTTATTTTTAAAATTCTGTAGATTTTTGTAGAAATATTTTACAATGTGATTATACTTTATAATGTTATTAAAATGTTTGTAGAATGAGGCTTCTATCTTCAGTAGCTTAGAATGTACGGATTTAAAAAAAAGAAGAATAGATTCTACCCAATCTGACTGTAGTGGTGAACCATTTGTTTCACCACTTGTTTTGGACCTTCAGGTTGATACTGACAATGAGCAACAAACAACTGCAATTCTCAATGACATTAAAATAAGTTCGACGATATCTTTAAATGAAGAAATTATTAGTCTAACTGAAAAAGAAACAATCACTTTACCAGCTGTACCTTCATTCTTAGAAAATTCAGACTTAAAAGATAATGTAAGATTAAAATTATATTCATAATTTCTAACTTACTTCTGAGTTCAGAAATGAAGACCATGCTTGTTTCATAGCTTTTCTTTTTCATTCTTAAAACTCAAAATAACATTTATTTTCCTATCTGTCCATAATGGGAATAAACTACATTATTTTCAAAAATCCTTTATTTCTTTAAATAGTGCATCTTATCGGAAACATTATTCTTTTTCTGTTTTAGTATGTCTGGAAGATATTAATTAAATCAGTGGAAGGAAAAAGTGTCCTTGCGCAATATGAAAGAACAGGCTTAGATAATAGTGCTAGATTGAAACTAGCTAACGTAGTAGTTGTTTCTGAATTTGGTTGTGACACACAGAAAGTGTATGTATCCGTAAAATTATTAACCCTATTGAAATCATTAATGCTTTCTAGATGTTTAAAGTGTTAAAATT